CCGTCTTTTCCAGTCACCGGCAATGGCGGCGACGGAGGCAGCAGTGGACGGCGAAGTTGAGGTGATCCACATGTGGTCCTCGCCGAGGTCAACGAGCACTAGCCTCATGTACTCATTTGCTCAGGTACTAGCTCGAGTTTGATGTCAACCTGAGTTGCCAGTGATTTTGATAGTGTTTTTTTTTTTGTGATTTTTTTTTTCGATTTCATTGCCTCTACATAATTAATTTTGTTCTCATGCTGTTTTTTTATATGTGTGTATATATATTTTGAATTTTTCTTGAACTTATGTGTGGAGGCTCTGTAGATTTATTACGTGCTTATTTAATTTTAGTGTCAGTTTTTTTTTTTTTTTTTTTTTTTTTTTTTTTTTTTTTTTTTTTTTTTGGTGCAAAGAAGGAGAAGTTCTTCTTTTTTGATTCGTCCTGATTGTGTGGAAGACTGTTGGTTATTGATTATGTGTTTTTTATATTTGATTGATTGATCCAAGATTATTGCTAAAACTTGTAACACAACTTGACTAAAAATAGAAAAAAAAAACAAAGAAGCTTGTAATGCAACTGGCTTTCAGTTAATCCCACTTAAGCATCCAATAGTTTATTGCAAAAGAGCTGCATTACGCTCTTGCGATTCATTATTGTTTGACATCAAGGAATTCTGCTGGACGACAAATAGGATGGATAGCCTTTGTGGTTAGTTGTCGACTTGCACTAGTTAACGAAAAACAATTGGAACTTCAATGATGATTTTTCCTTTTCATATCATCTTGGGAAATTAAATGCTCGGAAATGCTTGAATTACGAAGTTGGAGTGAAACATTTTTCAATAATAAATAAAGGTAATTGTAGTCGAGAATTCCACTCTAAACAATGTCCAAGCGGTGCTAGTAGACGTGGGGCTGATAATCAAGTCCAGTCTTTGAGTCATTAGAATTCAAGCTGATCTTACACTCAATCTTGGCCGAAATCCAGATATTGGATTGAAGAGACAATTTGTTGAGATGATACATATGTAATTACATGAAACATTTTTTTTTTCCTCAAGATTTTGAAACATGTAGTGGCTCCAGATATTTGTCTCCTTCAACTTTTAGTATATTGTTTTATATTTATAGCAGTGTGAGTAGTTAATTGTGGCGTAATTTCTACAATATTTTCATGAATGTTGTTCGTATAAAATTCTGGCTAAAGAAAGAGTTCTGGGGGAAGACTATTTACAAGATACAAATAATATGAGTTTTGCCCAAGTGATGTTGCAAAAACTTTTATCATTCATTTGTGCAGAGAGACGATGTGGAAGTGCTTGATGAACCCCTCTATGCAACTTTTTTACGTGTGACAGGAGCTGAAAGGCCTTACAAAGAAGAGATCCTGTCGAAAGTGGTAAGTTGAATTGAATACCCATCGACTGCATAGTACATCTCAGAGATATTACTAGGGCTATCAAAGTGATATTTTTTAATATAAATATTTAGATGATTCACCTATTTTTGTTATGTGAATAAGCAATATAAATTCAAATGACATATGTTTTTAATTTTAATTTCATTTGCTATTCAACTTTGTTTCCAACGCTATAGTTTTTGTAGCTTGGTGTCCCCATTGCAACCTGAATTTAGAATATCTGTATATTTGCGTTAATAGCAAGATGATGTTGTTATGAAGTAGAA